GCCCTCGATCCCACTGTCTGTGTCATTGATATACCTCACTCTCTGTCCAGGATTAACGGTCTTTTGCAGGAGCCCGGGGGAGGCAGGGAGAGCACCTACTCGGCAGGGCTTTGTGTCTCACCGCATTGCATCCACGCCTCTTGCTTTGCAGAGTACTCACATTGACGGGCACAAGAAGAACAGTGTGCGGCACAAACTGGTCTCCTTAACACTCAAGAAGAAATCCAAACTGACGGAGGAGGTGAGAGGAGACGCTTGGCCGCCTGGCAGCACAAGTGCCGTTGGATTGTCTGCAGCCCTCTCTGACTCTCTTCTGCTTTTCCCTAGACAACATAGAACCAGCCCTCCTCTGGGTTTGGCGCTACCTGTCTCTCTGCCTGAAAGATTTAAGGAGTGTTTAAGGGGAAAGGTTGGCTTCCCGTGTCTCCTTGAGTCATTCTGCACCTCGCGCCGGCCTCCCCTCGGCTCCCGTTCTCCATCCATCCAGCACCTCCCCTCCCCTCTTTCACAGCCCTCCATCCAGCTGCTGATACCTCTCACCACTCTGTGATGGTCTGAACGTTAACCCTGCTTTTAGCTTCCCGCCCTCCGCCACGGCGTAGGTAGCAGAGGTGGGGTCTCCAAATGCGCTCACCCATCCTCTGCTCCTCTCCAGTGCCAGGGGCAAAATTCCCCATGGAAGCAGTTAGCCCAAGCTGAGAGCTTTTGAAAATACCGTCTCAAAAGAGTGAGGAGCAATAAATCTTTTTTTTTTGGGGGGGGGAGGTGTGAAAGCAATGCAAAGATATGGATTCAACCTTCTTACACGCTGCCATGTCCACTTCTAGAGCAGGCACCATCTCACCTGGCTATAACTGCTTGAGAGCATGAAGATTGCTCTCTGAGATAGTCACCCTCCTTCCCTTTAGTGTCAGTGGGGAGAAAGAGGACCCAATCCAGCTTACCCTAATGTGGCTCTGAACGCACCCTATAAATGGCCACCTTTCTCCAGTGGCTCTAAATGGAGACTGGGTTGACCAGCTGAGACAGAGAGCTGGTAGACAGACAAACGCCATCCCTGTTTTCAAAAAGAACACCAGTGCTTTTGGTTGCATCATTAGCACGGGGAGTGGGTCCGTTTTGTCAGTGCTTTAATGATTTTTTTAATATGACTGAGTTAAAGGGACAGGTCCTCCTTGGCAATAAACTGGGGTTATTCCAAAGATACTTGGTGGTGCTCTCCCAGCTGCAGGACCAGCTCAGAGCTGGGATGCAAGGGTGCCATTGTAGAAAGCCTGGGCAAAGACCAAGCGGGTGAGAGTGTGACTAGACAGGACCATTTTCAGCTTCACCCATATGTGATTAAAACCAATAAAATCAAACCTTCCCATTGCTGTTAAAGCGCTAGATTGACGAACTTTTGAGACCCCTCCTGGCTGGTTGAGGAGTCTTCCTGGGGGAACACCAAGCATTTGGGATGCGGGCGGGGGGGACACAGTCACTGGCTGTACTGAAAGAGAGCAATGTGTCTGCTTGGCAGGTGACAAAGAGACTTCATGATGGTGAGTCTACTCTCCAGGGCAATAGCATGCTCGAAGACCGCCCCACCTCCAATCTGGAGAAGCTCCATTTCATTATTGGTAATGGCATCCTCAGGCCAGCCTTAAGGTTAGAAATCAAGACAATGGCATGAACATGCCATTCTTTTCATTCCTTCTTCCCTGAGCTATTCTTGAGCAGTTCAAATGATTTTGCTGCTGCGTGCAGCTTTACAAAGCTCTTATTATATCATTTTTCTGGTTCTGTTGTATAATATGGGCTGCGCTGGATCATGTTCCTTACTGTCCATATTGGGCCTGATGGAAAGACCACATAGAGGGATTCAAACACTTCTGGAAGTGCTAGCGACTACTGGATGGTTTTTTTAACACTCACTCTTGTTCACTACTCTCTGTTTTTTTATTTGACCATTAGATCTCTTTGGTTTGTGTGAATATTTTTAATGGTACACTGATGAAAAACTCGAACTCATTTCAGTTGCTAAATTAATCATTCAAAAAATGGAAAGTGCCAAATTAAGGCCTACTGCACATCTTTGGTTTAGCCCATTTATGTGTGTGTGTTATAATACAGCCCTTGTTTTAGGTAGTCTCACACTCTTTTCACTCACACCTACCGGCTTTCTCCAGGAAGAGGGTGAGCATCTACATCTGATGACCAGCTTCTCTCATTTTCATTTTATCTTCCCAGTTCACCATGAAACCCTTAGCATTACTTTTCTGCACAAAGTCTGCTCACAAAGGCAGACCCGGTAGTGTCCCATGGGATTTGTGCCATGGGGTTTGTCAGTGTAACAGGATGGCTAACATTTTTGTTGCCTGCCATGTAGATGAGGAAGTACTGTTATCCCTCATTTTGCGTATAGAGAACTAAGGTTAAAGTCAAAAGTGGATATTAAATCCCAAATTGAGATACCTGTCAATGTACACGCTTGTTTGGATGCAGGAGCTGGACAAATGACCTTCACTGGAGCTGATAGTTCCCAACAATACCACAAAGCACATTCATGTGTTGCAAGAGGAACAGACAGCAAATTAAGACTCCCAGCTGATGGCCCTCTGTGAAAGTTCATTTAGGAGACTGGTATTACTGGGAAATCTTTGTAAGAAACCAGAATAGATTCCAGAATCTTTGTAAGATAGAACCAGAATCTTTGTAAGAAACCAGAATAGATTCCATCATCCAGAGGTGACACTGAGCTGCTTTGAACCTTAAGACTCCCTTTTACTTCCCTTCTTCTCTAAGCAATGTCATTCAGGAGTGGGAAATCTCAGCTGAAGCACAGGGAAGACCCAACCGATGTTACAGGACTGGTGACGGATGGCATTTTAAAGACACTGCAACGATCAGGGTGACCATCATTAGGGCAGTTAAATTAATATCCTTGTCATGTTAAAATGAACTTTTAACTGTCAATCACACGTAGACAAAGTCTGTCTCTCTCTGCGTTTGTGGTGAAAGCCACCACCTCGTTAACAGTTAATGCTATTTCATTCCTATCGCAGGGATGAAATCTATTGTCAAATCTGCAAGCAGCTGACCCAGAACCCATCCAAAAGCAGCCACGCCAGGGGTTGGATCCTGATGTCCCTCTGCGTGGGATGTTTTGCTCCTTCTGAGAAGTTTGTGAAGGTAAATTGTAGATTATAGTTGTCTCATGAATTATCTGTCAACACATTTTCCTTTCCAGCCATGGGACCAGCTTTTCTCCCAGGTTCCACAGAAGACGGTATCCTAGTCTTTATCTTTGCCAGGAATGAAAATGACATAAAGTTCCTGAGAAAAGTGTGCATGATCCCAAGTTCAATGTCTCAAATGGATCATATGAGTCACTCCTCAGAAGTGTCTCTCCCTTTCCTGTGACTCTAAAGGGAGTGTAGACAACCAGTTCAGGCGACGCCTCTTGTACCATAGATCTGTGAAGATGTGATTAAGTGATTTCTGGCAGGAAAGTTGATTATGGGAGGCTGCAAGTGGAATTTGCACACCCAGAATAGCCCACATTTCTGCCCTATTTCCCACATGCAAAGGTCTATGCATTCATTCAAGCATCTACTGGCTTTGACAGTATGACTTCAGGCATGTACTCAAACAAAATTGACAAGGAATAGTACTACACAGCTAATTATAATTTAATATTAAAAACTGTACATAGAAAGGGAAGGGTTTAATTTACCTGGAAGTATGTTTGCATAGTTGCTCTCTGCATGCTACAACTTGCCCCAGCATGTGTCATACTAAAAACATCAAACTCTAAACAGCCACATGAGAGCTGACATGTAATGTATCTTCAGAAGCACTGTGGATCAGCAGGACTGCAGTCAGTAGGAGATGCTAAGTGGCTGACAGGTTTGAAAATCAGGTTGTTCTGAAGGATATTCTTTTTTTTTCTGGGCAAAGTTTTGTTGCCTATTTTTGACCAGTCCGCCTTCCAAATGAGTTACACACCTAGAGTCTGACTAACACCCTCTGGACTGCTAAAGTTAATCTCATGCCTAAGAGTTGGACTGGCTCAGGGCAAAGGGCTCAGTACGGTGTCTTTGTTTTGCCATAATATAAAACCTCCTTTGTCCCTCTCAGCTTTGAATGTTGGAGCCTGGACCTGCTCCCAAGACTGATGGAGATAAAGATGTTCCATTAATTTCCATAGATATCAGATCAGGTACTGGGTCCTGAGCACTGAAAGAGCTGAAGCCAAGAATAGAAATCCCTCTTTCATCCCCAGGCCTTGCCAGTATGAAATCTAATAAAGCAGATAAATCACTGGCAAAGTGGCAGAAAATTAAATTATATCTGGAAATGAGATCTGAGAAAGTATGCCACAGGACATTGTGTGGGTTTGAATCTTTAATAGTGGAAGATTATTTTAGGTGAGTGAAGCACTTCTCAGAAATAATTTATGGATAGCTCTGGAGACTCAGACATAGAATCATAAAAAGTTTTGGGTTGGAAGGGACCTTTCAAGGTCATCTAGTCCAACCCCTCTGCCATGAGCAGGGATAGAGCAGGGTGCTCAGAGCCCCGTCCAGCCTGACCTGGGATGTTTCCAGGGATGCGGCATCTTCCACCTCTCTGGGCAGCCTGGGCCAGGGTTTCACGTGAACCTCTGCCCAAAGTTATGGTCCATGCTGAAATACGTGGCAATATTCCCAACAGCTTCAGAGAGGATTTATAGTAATTCTGCCCTTACTTGTCACCCTTTTGCACCTTGGGCTGTTGGAGATGATAGGCAGCCTGCAGTGACTGAAGCTGCTCGAGTATGAGTGCAAACAATACTTGCAGCAGCCCATACTGTGGTTACCTTTGAAGGTTCCAGTCTTGCAAACAGCAACACACAAGCAGCAACTTGGGCAATGTCTCGGAGCTCCTCTGAAGACACTGGAGTTATCCACGGTGACACCATTGACACCTTCCCACTTAAAATGTCATGTTTTGAGATAAAGCGTTATGAAAAAAATGATAAATAAATCTCACGATGAAATGTTAACTCTGCCCCCAAACCACACACGTTCCCATCCAGACTCACTTTTTTATCGTGTGAAAAGCAGAGGAATAATCAAAGTTTGTTAGAATTCAGTGAACGCTTCTGTTTTGAAGGTACATTAACCCAGGCCACCTAGTCCAGTCTGTTCTGGGTTGGGAGACAAACTCCACGTCAGTGCCAGACCTTACTCTCAGACTCTTAATCTATCAGGACCATGTTTTCAGGAATTAGTAGTCAGCCAAAATCTGATTTACTCTGAGTTCGCTGACTACTGCTTTAACCACGCAATAGCTACCATTGAATGTATGATAGCCACGTGTTGGCTATCAGCCGATTAGCTAGGTGGCATTTTGTTAACCTCACGTCTTTTTCAGTTGATGCCCTAACTTATAGCAGTAACTATCCCCCATTTTAATAGAAGGAAATCATATAAGGGAAAATAGCGTTTCTGTCCGATACTCTTCCTTGTGGTGAATGTTGTATCAGGCTCCTGGTTACTTTTCTCCTGAAACCTCAAGGCTCTAACTTTAATAAAAGCAATATTATGGAAAAAAGATGAGGAATTTCAGGAAACTCTTGTGCCTGGGAATTGTTCCACAACCTTCAAAAGTGTCCATTAGAACTGAACATTTTGAGAAGGATTTAGCTGATAACGAGGCAGTCTTCGATATCTTTTCCTGCTCCCAAATATGAAAGTCATGCTTTGTATCCCATTAGACACCTTTATGACATCATTTGCTAAGCATGGGTCAAGACACATTAGCACTCCTGTTCTTTGTACCTTTCTTTTAACTAATAATGGAATTTGGTGGGAAGGTTCGGTCACAATGAAGGAGAAATACAAAAATATGTACTTACATAGTTCATTATTAACAGCATAATTAAAACTACACTTTTACACAGCATCAGCTGCATGCAATCATTTGCAACAGCTCCCATCCATATTACCTGGCTCTATTACCTAGTTATTTCAAAGTACCTCTATAAGTTACGATTGCCAGAGATATCTGTCTCTCTGCCTGTGTTATTTATGGACTGGCAGCGTTATAGAGCAGTCTGTGTTACTGAAGGAACAGTTGTGTGTTATCATTCAGAGAACTCTTTATCTATCTATAAAGTCTCTCTGAAAAACATCATTTACAGAACTTAGCTACCTTTTTGGCCAAGACATTTCTGTAATATTTTTAAGTGTATTATCTTTCATATTGTGGAAGTCACTGGATTTAATTTTCTCTACAATAGCATGGTTGCATTTTTGACATAGCAAAGTGCTTCAAATTCTGGTTTAGGATCTTCTAAAATGCAATTTAAAATCAGACTGAAGGAACATCTGTTTAATGTAATTGTGAAAGATCTTTTGTACTGGCAGCTAAGTGTTCTGAGTGGCATTTGCTCACGAATCTCCTGGATCATTACTTAAATGTCTTTTTCATTCCCTCCCGTCTTTTTGGCCAACACTCAATAACATTTTATAATCCATCTTTAAAACACAGAGATAGAAATCAGCAGCAGCAATAGCAGGAATAGGAAAGCTGCTGCACCGGCTTCGATCAAAGGTCTGTCTAGGCTGGTATCTTATCTCCACGGAGGCCAGAAGTTCACAGCGTAAGAACGAGGCAAGGGTGCAGCCTGTCCTACTCCCTCCCAGCTTCCAGCAATGGGAGGTAGGAAGATCCTGAGACTGAGCGGTACCAGTGCCGTTAGTCTCAGAAGGCTTTTCTCCAGTAAAACGTTGCTTTTTAACCTTTGCAAATGCTTGGCCTCTACACCCAATGGTCTAACCACTGTGTTCCCTGCTGCCAACAGTATTTGAGGAACTTTATCAACGGAGGACCCCCGGGTTACGCTCCCTATTGCGAAGAGAGGCTGAGGCGGACGTTTGCCAATGGGACAAGGACGCAGCCACCCAGTTGGCTGGAGCTGCAGGTATGAGCCCCTCCATCCCCTCCCCAGGCAGCTGGGGCTCAGGGTTTGAGCCTTTCACTATCCCAGGAACCACAACTCTGGCAGGGCAGAAAGTAGCGTGACAAAATGCCTATTTCCCTCAAGAATTTTCATGTATTTCCAAGATATTGCATTCCCCGTGCACTCTGGCTTTGCTCCAGAGTATGTTGAAGATCAATCCCTTTGGCTACATCAATACTTGTAAATTAATTGTGCTCGAGAGTGTCCTCAGGTATTGAGGCCAGCTGGCACGGAACAAACCCCTGTGTATGCTAGGAAACTGTCTTCCTGATGAAGGTGGATGCAGGCAAACTGCCTGCTGAGAATGCTCCCTGGGACTTGTGTGGGGATAGTCATAGCTGGAAGAGGCACAGTTTGTGCAATAATTGCTCATTTTCTGTGCTGGTTTACGAGCATAAACAGTTGTGCTCCGGTGCCCAGGAGCATTCCCAGACATGCTTGGATTTACCGGATTAGGCACTTTGAGGACTAAATGTATTAAATAAAAAATCTGGGACTTCCAAGAGCTTCCAGTGGCTGACCGTACATTATCCTGTTGAGAAGTGTCTTTCGGTAGTATTGAAAAGCAGCCAGTCAGAGGGATTGGGAACTAGAAAATGTTTACCACAGTTGAGTGGAAGAGTACATTGGTAAACAGTCTCGATGGGATTGAAATCCACATGCCTTTATAAAGTTTGACTTTAATCCATTAGGCAACTAAATCCAAGAAACCAATCATGCTGCCTGTCACATTTATGGATGGGACGACAAAAACACTGTTGACTGACTCTGCAACAACCGCTAAAGAGCTCTGTAATTCTTTGGCCGACAAAATCAGCCTGAAGGATCGATTTGGCTTTTCGCTTTACATTGCACTTTTTGACAAGGTATGTATGTCTTAAATTATGTTCCTGACTAACCCCATAAAAGAAGAGGGAGGTCTCCTTGCTGTCACATAACCTTCCAGAGGTCAGAAGGACCCTGTACTATGAGCAAATGGCCAACCTTAAGGTCAGGAAGGAACATTTCTACAGTTCAAGTGCCAGCAGGATTTTCACAGTAAGAGTAGTCAAGACACTGGAGCAGGGTTGCAGAGACACAGAAATCTCCCTCCTTGGAGATACTGAGAATTTAACAGGAGAAGGCATGGAGCAACCCGATCAAAGATGGACCTGCTCTGATCAGTGGGCTTGATGAGAAGCCTCCAGAAATGCCTTTCCACCTAAATTACCCTGTGATGCTGTGCTCTTACTCTCAGTCAAGCTACTTTGAATCGAATTTCCAGTAAAACAAACAGCCTGGATTTTTATGCAAGGGACCAACTACATTTAATTGGAAAGCTGATGGCTGAAATTAAGCTTCCAAAAAGATCTAAAATCCAAACTGCCATACCTGCATTAGCATTTAACCCAATTTATTCAACCTAAAACCATACCTTTTTTTCAGAAATTCTATAAAAATAAAGGCGAGTGTAAATGAGAAGGGAAAACAGACCTAGGATAAAACTTCATCAGGTGAGACAACAGCTGCAAGCCAATGAAACAGAATTATTTCTACAGCTGCTGTGTAAGAGGATGAAGTATATTCTCACCTCCAGATGTGGCCACCTCTGCCTGCAGGTGGACAAGAAAATGGCTTATACTCCATCTCTTGGTCTTTTTTGAGGAGACATTCATCCAGGGATGTTCCCTCTGAGGAGACATAGTGCTTTAAGGCCTGTTGAGGTTTAACCCCAGCCAGCAGCTAAGCATCACACCGCCGCTCGCTCACTCCCCCCGTGGCAGGAGCTTCTCCCAGCTTTATATGCTGAGCATGATGTCATATGTATGGGGTATGGAATACCCCTGTGGTCAGTTGGGGTCAGCTGTCCCGGCTGTGTCCTCTCCTAACTTCTCGTGCACTCCCAGGCTGCTCGTTGGTGGCATGGTGTGAGCAGCAGAAAAGGCCTTGGCTGTGTGTAAGCACTGCTCAGCAATAACAAAAACGTCCTTGTATTATCAACACTGTTTTCAGAACAAATCCAAAACATAGCCTCATACAAGCTTCTATGAAGAAAATAATTAACTCTATCACAGCCAAAACCAACACAGGGCCTCATGCCAGACCACAGTGAGAAGAGAGAGGTGATATATCTTCTGTAGCAGGACAGGCTTTTTATTCTGTGTTTGTCTGATGATTAACGTGGTTGGATCCAAGTCCATGACTTTGAAACAGGGTTTTTCAAAGCATAGTATGAATGAACAGTACTTTATAATGGGACTGTTGGTTTTTCTAATTGACTTTGATATTCTCCTTTCATTCTGGATGGGAAATTGTGGCTCAAAAAAAAAAAATGGCTCACCCAGCTGTGCTGTAGATCTGTTCAATCTTGGCTGGCTAGTAAAGATAGATATTTGATTTATTTTGATTATAAAGGAAATCTGGATGAGTGACTCAGAGACAGATAACTCTGCCTAGAGAGGTCAGCATTTAGTCGGGTGAATGCTACATTTCCCTCTGCCCTAACTAGGTCTCCTCGCTGGGGAGCGGCAATGACCATGTGATGGATGCTGTGTCTCAATGCGAGCAATATGCCAAAGAACAGGGAGCGCAGGAACGCAATGCGCCGTGGCGGCTCTTCTTCAGGAAGGAGATCTTCACTCCTTGGCACAACCCAAGTGAGGACAATGTGGCCACCAATCTCATATACCAACAGATCGTGCGAGGGGTGAAGTTTGGGGAGTACCGGTGTGACAAGGTATGTGACCTCAGCAGCTACTGGTCTCATCCAACATGTATCCTTGACATGGTGAAATAGGTTTCACCAAAGGGATGAGAAATCTTCCTCCTTGAACACCTGCTGGCTTGGGGATTATGGTATTCGCTTGGGAAACAGTAGCTACAGGAATCAGATCCTCTTGGCTGGGGACAGACTGGATGCTCCCATGTGCTGCGTGAGCACTCTCTCCTAGTGAATTTTGGATGGGAGAGTGAATGGCCACTTCATCCATCAGCCTCACTTTGGAGGGCCACAGGTTGTCTATAACCAGATCACCAGATCAGGAGTACACAGCAGGATCTTTTTTGGCAAATCCTGCTAAGCCTTAGACGTGAGAGATGCTTTTCGGGATACCCAGACTTCTGTCATGCAATACAAACCAAATAATTCTGTCATATGCTGACACTGACAGCAGAAACCTATGCCTCTAGAGTCTCTGGGAGCTTACAGAATTATTCCAGTGTCACTGAAATTAACATCTCAAGAAACATCAAAATCTCTGACAATGTGTGTCATTTTTTTTTTCCCCCTCGGGTTTAAAATTATCCAGGTTTCAAATTGAATATATCTGTCTTCCCCAACACCATTCTCCTGTGGTCTGGTAGAGTCCAGTCACCTTGGGAACTAAATCATGTTTTCCCATCTGTATTACATTAACTGCAGCTTTCTTATCCTATCAGAAGTCCTGCCCTTTCTTCCTCCCCTTCTCTTGCTCCTTGTCTTCTTGTGCTATTATCATCTCAGTAGTTCTATTATTTCACCCCAAAGTGCCTGGGATATAGCTGCACCAAAGGACATTTTACAGTTCTGCATTATGCACAGATGCTTCTGTTGCTTGGCTTCTCAAGTATGAGAAATGATGGATACGTGCCGTTTGCCACCATTAAACTCTGTTTGCTGTAGCAAGACTACCCACTGCTGGCTGCAGGCATCAGCAGCAGTCTGAATTGCAAGGAAAAACGGGGGCAAATATGTTCACACACAATACAGGTTTACATGGTGCTGGTCATTGAACATGTTAAGGCTTAATCATAGCTTTTAGTAGTCAATCTCCTGAACTTCGGATGTGCAAAAAGCACTGGTGATGTTCTGCGGTAAGGAAGCATCCCCACACCAATCTGAAGCAGCAGTACATCCAGCCTCCACAAAGAGGCCATTGAGTGATGGAGGATGGATGCTGAGGTGATGGCCTGGTAATAGCATTAAGTTGACTTGTTTGGCTCCCACAGGAAGAAGATCTGGCAGAACTGGCTTCCCAGCAGTACTATGTGGACTATGGGTCAGAGATGGTACTGGAAAGGCTGCTAAATCTGATTCCATCCTACATCCCAGACAGAGAGATCACAGCTTCAAAAACAGTGGAAAAATGGGCTCAGCTCATTATAGCTGCACATAAAAAGGTGGGGACAATAGGTCACCTGGCAAGGACCAAGGCATGCTTCAGTAGCTTCATGTGCCTTTTAAACGTGTCAGACATCATAGCTCAGCTCTTAGCCTGGCCTGGAGCTAAATCAAAGAGAAAGGGAAGGTTTTGTACTAGCCGTATTCACCTTTACCACTGGTTTTGAGGCAAGATCTGGCAGAAGAAGACAACCTGCAGAGATTCACTGAGAGAAGCAAAATGCCATCTCTGCGGTTTAATTCCTGGTACACAGGATTGTGGTGTTATTGGTTGCATTACAGTGTTGGTTCATGTCTCCAGGCAGTGTCAGGACCTCATTGTGTCAGGCATAATATAAAACATCCCTGACTTCCATAACAACATTTGTGACACCCTCTCACAGTGACACCTTCCATAACTCATTACTCATAACACATGACCAACCATGAGGGTTGGTCATCCAGGCGTGAGAACTGGCATTCATTTAACAACAGGACCCAGCTTCAGATTAAGACCCCTAAAATGTAAGCACCTCCATGTGTGTTATGAGTCTCACCTCCCATTACTGTCAATGGAGACCCAAGGATGCAATTCACTTGGACCTTGCAGGTTCTCCATCAGCCTGTCAGCTACATACAGAGGTATCAGGTATCTGAGGATGCCTTAAATGAAGCTAAATGCCTGTACTTAAGGGCTATTGAGTGTCTGTTTCCAGCTAAAGGACTGTCAAGCTGAAAGGTAGACACCTACCTACCTTAGGGAAACCCAAATTTAGCCAAGATGAATCCCACCCAGACTGGTCACTCTAGATGCTTGCGCAGCCTTCTCAGATTTTAATTATTCCCTAACCAAAATTTTGCCAGGACTTTATCCAACCTATCACATGTTCCTGTAGGACTTTGGCCCTTAGCCTCATTAAGACCTAAATTAATATTAGTTCTAAGATCTTCTGGTGACATGAATTGGTTTTGTTTGCTCTCCTCCTGGCTGTAACCAGGTTTGTGCTTCATGTTGGTTGTAATTTGCTTTGTCTGTAGGGAATTTATACTCAGAAGAGGGCAGACCCCAAAAAAGTCAAGGAAGAGGTAGTGGATTTTGCGCGTTTCAAGTGGCCTTTGCTGTTTTCTCGGTTTTACGAAGCTTTCAAATTCTCAGGTGAGTCAGTAGAGCGCATCCCCTGAGCACAGGATGCTCCAAAGCAAACGGAAGGAGAGATAGGGACTTCACAGACAAGAAGAATTAATGGACCATCTAGCTGGTCTTTTTTAGATATATTATTTTTTGGTGCATCCTGATTAGCTATTCTCAAGCTATGTCTGCCACTATTTCTTTTACTAAAAATAACACTGATGTTTTTGATCATTGCATCCTCCTCTGAAATTTTCCATATCCTAAGACCCTTCATGAACTGATTGTATGTCTTGTCTTCAACCCAGGGCCCAGCCTGCCTAAAAATGATGTGATTGTAGCTGTCAACTGGACAGGGGTGTACTTTGTGGATGAACAGGAACAGGTTCTCTTAGAGCTCTCTTTCCCAGAGATCACGGCTGTGTCAAGCAGCAGGTAAGGAGGAACAGACTTAGCTGCTGATCTCACCCTAAAACAGTCTTTTTTCCAGGCTTTGCCTCTTGATGCCATTATCTTTCCTGTTTATGTCTCCTACAAAAATATATCCCAGAGGGGGAAAGCTGCAAGGGCAGAGTTTCACCTTGGCCACCATTAAAGGCGATGAATACACTTTCACCTCCAACAATGCAGAGGATATCCGGGACCTGGTGGTGACCTTCCTTGAAGGACTAAGGAAAAGATCCAAATATGTGGTCACTCTTCAAGACAACCCAAACCCTGGTAAGTAAATGTCCCAGCCCAGTGGTAAACAAATAAACGGTTTAGTTACGCCCAAGTGATTTGGGGAGGGGGTGAAAATCAAACCCATGGTTGTTTTTCTTGCAGTGGGAGAAGAATCTGGGTTCCTCAGCTTCCTCAAAGGAGACCTCATAGTTCTGGACCAGGACACAGGAGAACACGTGATGAACTCAGGGTGGGCTAACGGGTTCAATGAACGGACCAAACAGAGAGGCGACTTCCCAACCGATTCTGTCTACGTCTTGCCTACAGTCACCATGCCTCCGCTGGAGATCGTGGTAAGCTGTCTTACAGAATGGCACAACCTGATACAAAGCCTGAGGAGGTCAAAGCCTTCCTGAAAAGCTTAGATCTGGCCAGAGTCTCCCTGATGATAAGATGGAAACCAAAGTGGCTGAGAGAGGTGAAAAGTTGCCCAAGGCAGAAGTGATCTCAGCCTTTCTTCTGGTCTTGTCACTTTTTGAACACCACAGGCTTGTGACGTGGAGTATCCATGAATCCTGCTACATTCCTCCAGCTGGCCTGATTACTTGAAGGTGTATTTGGAGTTGGAGGCAACTACTACATTCATGTATGGAGCTGTAGGATCCAAAGCACATTATCTTCATTAGGAAATGATCCACACTATGGAAACATTTGCTATTCCTTGCATTAGTGGCTGAGAATTGCACAGAGAAATTACAATAGCACAGTTTTTACTGACTATTAAGTGGAATTAATAGGTTATTCTTATTCACTCACTGTCCTTCTTTTCATTTTGTATTTGCTTCCTCTCTCTGAATACATCAATATATATTATATCAAATATACTGGTGACAGAGACATTTTCATCCCACAGGCACTGGTCACGATGACCCCTGACCAACGACAAGATGTTATCAGAACCTCTCAGCTGGCAGTTTCAGACAGTGAAGAGAGAGTAAAGCCATACACCTTGGAGGAATTTTCCTATGATTATTTTAGGTGATTTTTTAAATCATCCTCGAAAATTATAGGAATAGTAATCTATCTCCAAGTAGCTTGGGAATCAGGAAATTTTTGGCTACTGGAAAAGACTCTGAATATCCCCTTGTGTGACTTTGTACAACTGCAACCTGCAGTTTAGGTCATGGCATTTGAGCTGTAGGCGTTCCCCAGACAGGGTTTTATGAAGAATTTTTTCAGATTGGCTCAGCACTGGTGTAACAGTGTAAAATTTAGTATTATGTGGGAGGCTGTGCTAGTGGTCTGATACTCCTTTCCTATGATCCCATACGCAGCCTCATACTGTATTGGCAGCAGTTGAATTAGTTGCAGGCATTTCCATCTCAGCTCCACAGATTTAAATGTGCACCACTGCTGAATGCAGCTGACCAGATTGATCCCAAAGCTCCCACTCCCGTTCAGGTGGGCTGGCAATCCAAACAGGCAGACCAGATCCTCTGGGATGTCTTCACCCTGGTAGGCTTATTCTGCTAGGCAATATTCTTCTGGCGTTGCTGCCCTGACCGTCTGTTGCCATCATCCTTCCTCTTACAGTTAGAAGCTTTTTGGGGTAGGGAAGGTTGTTTTGATGGCAGCACTTAGGTAGCGTCCTTAAGGGACTTTTATGAGCCCTAGGAAAGTACAAATGGTTATCTTCAGGCAGAACTGGAGCTGGATACTTGCTGAACTGTGAAGTCCCATTTGGTGTAAGAGTTCATTAGCCAGGTGTTGTGAGCCACCTTCCCAGGTGAAACATTGGCTGCAAGCTGTCCCTTTTATCCCTGTAACCTCTCCACCTTTCCTTTTGCTTTGCTTTTCCCACCAGGCCACCTCCCAAGCACACCCTGAGCCGGGTCATGATCACCAAAAGCCGTGGGAAGGACAAGCTGTGGTGTTACACCCGTGAGCCCATCAAACAGCCGTTGCTGAAGAAGATCCTGGGCAGCGAGGAGCTATCCCAAGAAGCCTGCATGGCCTTCATTGATATCCTTCCACTGCCTGGGTGAGCCCTTGGGCAACAGATCTGATATGCAAAGAGTTGAGCAGGCTCTTTAGGGCCCCAAGAAATGCCAATAGCAAGGTCTGTGCTCCCCCTTAAGGGCTTTGGGACCATGTCACAGGCTTGGGTCTGACCTGAAATCTATAGTCAAGCACCCTTGAGATCTGTGGGGTGTCAGTACTTCATAAATGAGGGCCAGGGAGCAAGATTGTGAGTCCCGCTGGTCCACGCTGCTTGTGGTTAACTCACCAGCTCTGTTCTGGCTTGCTTCAGCTGTGTCTCTCCAAAATGCATCTTCTGTGGAAGGCTGTAGCCCTAATCGGTGTGGATGCAAACCAGTCCACACGGCCTCAGGGACAGGGTTTGGTGCCTGAATATCCCTTGCTTGGCAGAATGTACACAGCATGGGAGAGATGAACTGAGTGCAGACACAGATCCGATCTGTTGAAGTAGCCTTTATTATTTGGTGGGTCTTTGCTCTAGGATCCAAACTTCACAGTTTGGACAGTTCTGTTGGTATAAGCCTGTTATTTATTACACTATTTATTACACTAACTGTAGTTATTACGCTATCACTGCTGCTACTGGTTTCCTCCTAGTAGCAAATAATAACAGGAGCAGAAATTAAAAGAAAAGGCAAAAAAATAAGAGGACATTTGCAATTTTATCCTTTTCCTTTCGCTGTGTCATACATGTTAATCCAGAAAATTGTGGCCTGTTCCTACACAGAATAGATGCAATATGGCATGATGGTGAAGGTCGTGATTTGGTTTGCATTACTGCAGCTCCACTGGTGTCTGACACCAGCTGAAAATCTGGTCTTTTACAGTGGCACCTGTATGTGTGATCAGGTAACACACGATCACACGCAGCTTTCTTAGGACTACGCATCCTGACCCCAAAGCAATTCTTTCAACCTGAGATGATGCATGGTAAAGGGAGAGAGCTTGCTGGAAATGTCCTAAAGCAATTGAAAGCCTTTACAGTACACTGTGCCCCCTCCACCAAGTTGAAGCCACTTCTGCAGTCGTGTGTTGGATGTCTGCAATCACACTGTCAACAGCAAGGCTTCTCCAAACATCCCTGTTAGCTGATCCTTGACTCCCACCTCCCACCGGTGCTGAAGTATATGGGTGACTACCCATCCAAAAGGACCCGCTCAGTCAATGAGCTGACAGACCAAATATTTGAAGGTGCCTTGAAAGCTGAACCCCTGAAGGATGAAATCTACTGCCAGACCCTCAAGCAGCTCACGGACAACCACATCAAGTAAGAGTTGTTTTTTCTCCTTGGCCCAAATGCACTAGCCCGCGTCGGGCAATGCAGCGTGTCCATGCCATGAGTGATTTTTTCCTCCTGGGTCTCTCCTTGTGCAGGTACAGTGAAGAGAAAGGCTGGGAGCTGTTGTGGTTGTGTACAGGCCTTTTCCCTCCAAGTAACATCCTCCTGCCCCATGTCCAGAGGTTCCTGCAGTCCCGTAAACATCACCCCTTGGCAGCAGACTGCATCCAGCGACTCCAGAAAGCCCTGAGGTACGGCACCAAAAGACCTCCTCATCGTGACTGTGCCACAGCATCCAAATATGCATGAGAAAATACAAGTAGGAGATATTTTGGTGGCAGGGGGGACAGTGAAAGCTCACAGCCTCTCTCTGCATTTGACCAAGCTGAACGAAAGCAACATTGGATGGAAGATGTCACTGGTAAACTGCCTGGCGAAAAAGAGGCTAATTAAGTTGACTTTGTCATGCCAGCTCTGTTTAAGTCACCTACAACCTAAGAAAATACACATTCCCCATTCCAATTTTTCTTTATTCTTTTTAGGGGGGGAAACAATATTAAGAAATTAGCCAAAGTTACTCGAAAAAGGATATGTATTAATACGGAAGACTTAAACAAAGGATTCTTGCTTTGATGCTGTGGCACTTTGCCACCTCCTGTTTTGCAGGAATGGATCCAGGAAGTACCCGCCCCATCTGGTAGAAGTGGAAGCCATTCAACACAAAACCACCCAAATTTTCCACAAGGTTTACTTCCCTGATGACACCGATGAGGTAAATGGGGGAGAAGGAAATTCTTCATTTCTGTCAGGACGGCTTTCAATTTTCTTATTAAAATCCTGGAAGAGGCTAATATTGATTCTGATTCAGGAAAACTCATCCTTCCCAGAAGACTCTGGACCAGAGCCAGAGCAGTGTAAAGAAAACCCATCCTTATCTACCCTGATCAGCTCAGGGGTTTGATTTACTGCGATTCATGTTTTTCAAGACATGGGTGCTGTGCTGGTGTTCACTGGAGGCTTGTTATGACCCCAGAAAAAAGGAAACCGAGTGGGTTCATCTCCACTCCCTCTCAGTGGTTCACAAGCCTTGGATATCAGTTATTTGCAGCCTAGACCGACAGACGTTGCCCACCCCAGTGGGGTACCATGATGGTGCTCCCTGGACTGGGCAGGCTATGGCAGCACAGTAACTGGGTAACTGGAATTATACCTTCTGACCTGAGATGACACAGAAATCATACCTGCGCTCAGGAATGTCTCATTAAGCATCTTACAGGCTAAGAAGGCAGCTAGTTATACTGATGCCAGAGCAGATATGAGTGTCCTTGCAGATACTGCTGTCTCATTCTGCTGATGAGTCTTCCTGTGAGGCTTGCATCTCCCTCATGCCCTGGGGCACAACTAAATTCCTGTGTTTCCAAGTGGGTTGATGTGTAAAGCAGTGCACACCCATGGAAGGAAAAGGAGGATTCCTCTCCAGCAGCCGTGCATGCCCTTATTTATCTGTAATGGGGAGTTGAGAGAAATGCTGGGATTTCTCATCACTTTGAGTATTTTTACTACGTGACCAGCAATAAGCATGACACTGCTTCATACATACGCACCTGTGCGCGAGCCAGTAGAAGGAGGCAGTGGGGACTTCTGCACTTGGATGGGTTTGCTGTGATCCTTTTGGCCATGGCAGTCACAGGAGTGGACTGGCAGAGGAGCATCACCCCGGTACAACATGCATCTGCACCAAAGGGCTGCTGAACACCAGCAGCACCGAACTCCAGGCCTGTGTCTCATGGGATATGGAACACGGGTCCTGGTGGTTTGATGGTTCAGGCTAACGCAGTCATGCATGTGGTGGTCAGAAGCTTAAATTCCTTAAACTGCTATGAACTGAATCTCTTTAAGTGGGCAGAACAAAACTGAGGCGATGTAAACGCTGAGCACAGCTCAAAAGGCAAAACAAGGGCTGGGACCTGCATGCAGGTGGGACAGCCCTTTCGATATCCCATCCGCACGTAAAGCAGGAGTCACCTCCCCTCTCTTCAGCTATCCAGAGTCAGTCATTTGGTCTAAGCCAGGCATCTGACCTCACCATCATCAGTGGAGAGGCAGTTGGGAGAAATCAGCTTGGGAGAATCTCTCTCTCCCCACCGCTAGACAAACAGCTCTGGGACCTAACTGTTAGACCAGAAAAATCTCCTGCGTTGCTTGCGGACCCCTGGGTAAGCCATCACAGGATATAGGTAGAACATCACAAAGCACAACGGTACAACAGTAGCTTGGCTGAACTTCTGCAAGGGTCCCTTCCCATGTGCAGAGCCACAATCCACAATGTCACGGATTTCATTGGTTGGTGGGCGCCTAAATCCCTTCATGTGTCTGAGCCTAGAGCTCCTCCAAGACAGCATGAAGTGGAAGTTAACCTGGAGATAGCAGTGGTGAGGACCTTTCTTTCTTTGTAGGCATTTGAGGTGGAGTCCAGCACGAAAGCCAAGGACTTCTGCCAGAACATCTCCAACAGACTGCTCCTAAAGTCCTCTGAGGGCTTCAGCCTCTTCGTCAAAATCTCCGACAAGGTGAGTGACCCATCCAGAGGCTGGGGGAGGTCCCAGGC